AGGAGCCTGTCAGGCCACAGTTCCTAGGGTCGCACAGACTGGGACATGACTGAAGTGACTAAGCAGCTGCAGCATGGAATCTAAGAAGATAGCACTGATGATCCCACTTGCAGTCAGCAAAGGAGACATAAAGAACAGACTTTTGGACAAGGTGGGGGATGGAGAGGGTGGGATGATTTAAGACTGAAACAGATATATTACCATATGTAAAATAGATAGCTAGTGGGAGTCTGCTGTATGATGCAGGGAACTCAAAGCCAGTACTCTGTGACAACTTAGAGGGGTGGGATGGGGAGGGAGGTGGGAGAGGGGTTCAAGAGAGAAGGGACATATGCATACCTGTGGCTGATTTACGTTGATGTATGGCATTACATCAGTGTTTATACCACAACATTGCAAAGTAATTATTCGCTAATCAGAAAAAAAAAAAAAAAGAAATGCTAGGCTAGAGGGAGACGATTCCGAAAGATCCTCTATAGACCTGCAAAGAAAGCACTGCATCTATGAACAGAGTCTAGGATTGTTATTAGACTTGGACGGGATTAGTAAATCCAATTCAGAGGAGGAGGGAGAAGAAGAGAGAATTAAGCCTCAGAATAGAGTCGAGAGCTTCAAAAGACTCCTGATTGTTTCTAGGTAGGGCAATGGAGACTGAGAGGGGACAAGAGACTCGGCCAAGGCCACGAGTCCGAGTCAGCCTCCCCGCCTCCCCCCGGCTCTGTGAGGGCAGCTCTCTTCCCTCATGTCCCATCTCAGCACACAGAATCACGCTCCCCACCGACAAGACAGCTTGCGGTATCTTTCCCGGGATCTATGGGAACAGAGGGAACAGCTGGGTCTTTCCCAGAATCTGTCTCCTTTTATGTGTCTATTCCCAGAGGCCAGCCCTCCATCCACAAACCTTTGTTTGGGTTCCCAGACCACATTTCCTCCCCTGACTGGCCTGCATCTCCCCCACCCTTCAGGGCTGCTGGCCCAGCCTCAGCCTGCCCAGAACAGAGGCCCCAGAATAGCCCGGGGCTGGCTCACTTGGGCAGAAAATGCCTTCCAAGGAAGCTGAGGCCTTGAGGTTCCAATCGTTTTCTTACCAACAGACAGCAGTTTCCTTTTTTAGAACATGAACTCAGAGGATGTGGCTCCCTGCCTCTTCATGAATAGACTCTCTCCCAGGCACAGAATTCCAGGAACCCCTGGGGCCACCAGAGACAACGGCCTCTCAAGGTTGACTGCAAGGGGAGAGCGTGTCCCTTGTTGTGTAGCTGGAGCCGGCTCCAAGGGTCTGAAAACTTCATCCTGGCACCAAGTCTGGCCCAACTCTGGACCCAACAGGAATCTTGAGATTTCCCACAATGCCATTCCTCTACCCTCAAATCATCCACACTTATTCATTCTGCCCTTCGTGCAACAAGTGTGCATCAAGCACCCACTATGTGCTAGCTTCTTTGAGGCAGTAAAACTTTTTGGACATATCAGATAAAACAGACAAAATCCCAGCTCTCAATAAATCCATATTTTAAGAGGGCAATGGTTAAAAGAGACCTCTGCACATTCTTTTACATATATATATATATATATGCATTTTTTATAATATATACATACAAAATAGGTTTAAATAAACAGAGCAGATTTAAACTTAGGTCCATCCAGCACCAAAGTTCTCTATCTCCTGTCTCTGGATATATACACATACACACATATATATATATTATATAATGTGTGTGTGTGTTAATTGCTCAGTTGTGTTCAACTCTTTGCAACCCCATGGACTCCTCTTTCCATGGAATTTTCCAGATAAGAATACTGGAGTGGGTAGCCATTTTGTTCTCCAGAGAATCTTTCCAACCAGCGACCGAACCCGGGTCTCCCACATTGCAGGCAGATTCTTTACCACCTGAGCCACTAGGAAAGCCCTATATTATATAATACAGATCATATTATATAATATATATAATAAATTTATATAATATATAATAATTATATAATAAATATATCCTGCTTCTAGATATATATTTATTATATTTAATAATTATATCATATAAACATATAATAAATATTACATATCACTATATATTTATATAAATAATATGAATACTAATATATATAATTATATATATATAATATATATCCAGAGGCTTTGGTGTTTTTTATATATATATATAGAGAGAGAGAGAGCTTTGGTGTTAGGTGAACCTGAGTTTAAACCTGCTCTGTTCTCTGATCTTGGGTGGCCGTTTTAACTTCTCTGAACCTCAGCTTCCTTGATGCTAAAGTGGAGATAAAAAGATAAGAAGTCCTGTGGAGGCTTGGGAGAGGCACCGCATAATTCTCCTTTGGAACACTGAGGAGACGTCACCCAGAGAAGGGAACCTGTGACCTGTCTTAAGGGAAGTGTGTGAGTTCACTGGGTGAAGCTGGTAAAACGGGAGGGCCTTTGTAGCAAAGGTGTGGTATTGCGTTTGGGACACGGGGGACAGTAGTTCAGGAGTGGCATGAGAGGAGTGCAGGCAGTGAAGCTGGTGTCATTATTCTGAGGGCAGTGGGAGGCACTGAAAGGTTTAGGTAGGTGAGTCACACTGATTGGGGTGCTGGTCTGGAAGCTCAAGCTGGTACATGATAGAGGGCAGGCAGCCTGGGGGCAGAGAGGCCAGTGAGAGGTGGGGAGCAGCAGCCCAGGCCTCCTCTCCACTGAGGAGAGGCCAGTGTGGCAAAAAAGGAAAAATACATGTGGGTGTGGAAGACTCAGACAGATGTGGACTTCAGCACTTCCTCTGCCACTCCCAACTCCCAGCCCCCCACTTCTTAGCTGTGTGACCCTCATTTCAGTTCAGTTCAATTGCTCAGTCATGTCCGACTCTTTGCGACTTCATGGACTGCAGCGTGCCAGGCCTCCCTCTCCATCACCAACTCCCAGAGTTTATTCAAACTCATGTCCATTCAGTCGGTGATGCCATCCAACCATCTCATCCTCTGTCATCCTCTTCCCCTTCCACCTTCAATCTTTCCCAGCATCAGGGTCTTTTCAAATGAGTCAGTTCCCTGAGAAGGTACTAATATTTCTCTCTCAGCCTTGATGAATTAGCTGAAGTGGCAGCTAAATGGGAAAAGCCCTGTTTGGTGACATCTGGTAAGTCCCCTCCCCCATACCTGGAGGCAAAAGTTGGTGACTGATTTTTTCTGCTCTGAGCTGCCCAGGGGTGCCAGGGAAAGCTTGAGGTTGATTGTTCAGAGAGGATCCGCAAGTATTCCCAAGCCTGCATGGTCTCCACAGTGCCTGGGCATCATGACAGACTCGGGGGCTAGGATCAGAGCCTCCAAAAGTAGGGGAGAGGAAAACGGAGCCAGAAGAGCTGGGCCAGATCTTTGGGTTCAAGTCACCATCCAGTCCCAGTCCCCTCTGGTCCTGGCCCTGCTCCAAGTCACATCTTCTCCCTGTCCTCAAGGAGGTCACCATCAACTAGGAGAGATTCAGACTGGGCCATTGTGTAATGCAAGAGCATACCCAAGCCAGTTCCTCATGGGCAAGGTCTTACTAAAGCACTGAGCCCTCATAGCTACCTTGGGAAGGAGGTACCATGGTCTCCACTTGATAATAAGGAAACAGCAGCTTAAAGAGAAGGATAAGACCAGAGTCTTCCAGCCTGGAAGTGACTGAGTCAGTACAGAAATCACAACCTGACCACCTCCAGGACCCAAGTGGCCAGCCTGGGCCAGGGGACTTGGGTTTCAGCAAGTTCAGGGGTGTGCCAGGATTCGATCTCAATATTATCAACCTGTGAGTTGTGACCCTGGGCTTCCCAGCAGGCAGGAAAAGGAGAGTCTGGATCAGCAAAGGGCCCACACCTGCATGGACCCTGACCCCTGCAGAACTGAGTGGGGCTGACAGCTTCAAGGCCTCCAGCTGTTCACTCATACCCACTGTGGGCAGGCCCACAAGGACAGCAAGAGGGGTGCTTGTAAAGTAAAGTAAAGTAAAGTAAAGTTTAAGTTAAGTAAACTTAAGTTTAAGTAAAGTAAAGCTGAAGGAGGTCTTGGTTTGAGGTCTAACTGTTCCCTTGTCTCAGCTCAGCCTCTTGTGAGCCCTTTAGACTTGCACGGGCCTTTGCCCCTCTCTGAGCCTCAGCTTTCTATCTGTAAAATGGGAACACTTACACAGACCACACACACTGTGAAAATGAAACAAGATAACCTGTAAAAGGACCTCACCAGTCAGAGGAGTCGGGTGTGCAGAGAACACTAAAGCTCTCAGGTGGCATATTTCTGTGGAGACAAGGAGTTTAAGAATTAGGGGCCTGGACCCTGCCGCTGACCTGCTCTGTGACTCTGAGACAGTGGTTTCCCCTCTCTGAGCTTCAGATCTCCACTGGGCAGGCTGCTCTAGCCTCCTGTGTCCCTGGGCTGGAAAGGGAGTTGGTTTCCATCAGCTCGGTGGGGAGTCCTAGGCCCCTGCTGAAGGAAATCTGCCCAGCCCCCTGGCTCAATGGAACAGCAGGAAAAGACACAAACAAAACCCAGACCCCAGTTAGTCCAGAAGTGCCTCCCTCTGACCCAGGTGAACTTGTTGAGGTCTAACCTGCCTATGACTTTGTCCACCCTCTGCACATGCTGCTCCTTCAGCCTGGAGGCTCCGCCCCATTCCTACCCTGCACAACTCAGGAATCCCCAGCAGAAGTTTTCACACACACACTTCACCCATGCTGACCCTTCCTCCAGGCTCCTGAATCACTTGTTCACAATAGTGCCTCCAGCCTGCACCCGTGAAAGGGCCAAGCTCGTCCTAACTCATTCAATCCCCGAAGACCTGTAGGGTGGGGTCCCAGTTCTCCTCTGATACAGGAGTGGATAAGTTCAGAGAAGTTAGGTCACACAGTAGGTGGGCGGCCTTGTTCTCCAACTCCACTCTCGTGGCCTCTCACCGGCTGGGGCAGTGACTTGATTCCTGTAGAGGCTGGGGAAGCGCTTAAAGTCAGGCAGTTATTTCTGAGAACGCTCATCTCCTGGGGATGAGGGTTCGAAGGACCTGCGGCTTGCTCAGGATGCCACAGCCCTTTCAGACTGAGCGCAATGGCTCTTGGAGGAGTTTCGTGTCCCGTTCCCCAAGCCCGCTTAGTGGGGCAGTAGGGGCGGGATGGCCCCCGAGGACCGCGGATTGCAGACAGTTCAGGGAGGTAGCGGTTGAGAGCGGTCTTGCCGCTGCCCGCCCCCCCTCCCCCCGCCCCACTTCGCGCTGGGAAACCCCAACCCCAGCCAGTCGTCTCGCTGTTCCTTTAAGGTCGGGCGCGGCACCTGGAGCCACCCGGAGCCGCTCCACCCGGGAGTCTCCGCCCGTCCGGCGGCCGGCCCCGAGGACGCGGATCCGAGGAGAGGTGGGGCGGGCCGCGCCCCGGAGCCCAAGCGCAGGTTCCCCGCAGCCGTCGGCCGAGTCCGGAGAGGGGCCGGGGGTGATCATCACCTGAGTCGGCAGCTAAGCGGGACTCCGTACGCCCGTCAACGCCCCCACCCGGTGGCCAAGCCCTTGAGCGGTGAAGGAGGTTTGGCACCGCTCCCACTGGAGCCGGGAGGGGACGGACGGCGGCGGACTAGACCCTTGGACTCGACCCGCAGCCGGACGTTAGCGTTTCTGCGGGGGCGTGGAGAGCAGGGCTGGAGGACGGTCGCCAGGGCCGTCCCTAACGCTAGGCGCCCCCAGCAGGCCGGAGGGACCACCTTTCCCAGGTTCGCGCTGCCCTCGGGCACGACAGCCACCATGTCTTCACCCCCGGTGGATTCGTCGGGCTCCCCACGCCGGGACCACGCCTGACTCTACGGCGCGATGACTGCGCCCAAGGTGGGTATAAACTTAACCAGCCCCCGCCCCGGCCACCCTCCCCATCCCTGCCACCGCCCCGTCTTCAGGAGCAGCTCGGCTCCTCCTAAGCCAACCCCGGCCGGTCCCCTTCCCTTCACCTTGACCTCAGTGGTTTAGTGCGCAGAGTCTGAACACCCGAGTCTCCTCCTAACTGTGTTGTAACTCGCAGGGTGGCCTTGGGCCATGGCGCTTGGAGACTCAGTTTGCCCCGGGGTTACGGTGAAGATAGTTCGGAACACTCTTGTTCAGATGGTTTAGTTCTTTACAGAAAACTGGCACCTAAAGTTCTCTTGTTGGTAGCGGGGACAATAGGATATTATTGTGCCCATTTCACAAGGGAGGAAACTGAGGCATGGAGAATCTAGGCAACTTACCCAGTGTCAGAGCCAGGGTTCCTCCTCTGTCCAGCTGTGTCACTGCTTGCCAGCCTCCCATTTCATCTTCACAACTTGCTCCTCCCTGGGAGGCAGTAATTTGAGCTCAGAGATGTTGAGCAGCCTGATCAAGGTCACAGAGCAAACAGAGTGGCCATAGTCAAAGGGACATTACTTTACCAACAAAGGTCCGTCTAGTCAAAACTATGTTTTTCCAATAGTCATGTATGGATGTGAGAGTTGCACCATAAAGAAAACTGAGCACCGAAGAATTGATGCCTTTGAACTGTGATGTTGGAAAAGACTCTTGAGAGTCCCTTGGATAGCAAGGAAATCAAGCCAGTCCATCCTAAAGGAGATCAGTCCTGAATATTCATTGGAAGGACTGATGCTGAAGCTGAAACTCCAATCCTTTGGCCACCTGATGTGAAGAACTGACTCACTGGAAAAGACTCTGAAGCTGGGAAAGATTGAAGGCAGGAGGAGAAGGGGACGACAGAGGATGAGATGGTTGGATGGTATCACCGACTCAATGGACATGAGTTTGAGCAAGCTCTGGGAGTTGGTGATGGACAGGGAAGCCTGGCATGCTGCAGTCCATGAGGTCGCAAAAGAGTCGGACACGACTGAGTGACTGAACTGATAGAGGGAGTGATAACTAGCTGGTGGGAGGTGGGGGTGGTAGCAGCAGAAAGACTTCTGCGAGGATATGGTGTTTGGCATGGGTCTCAAAGGGGGTTGTGAAATGAGGGCCCTGGGTGGGGACAGAGGGCTCCCCAGGCGGAGGGAGCAGTAGGTGTACAGGACCCCAGGTGGCAGGAACTTGGGGGCATGGATTGGAATAGGAGGGAGCTGGGAGGAGGGGGCCAGCCTGGCAGCCTGAGTGCTGGATTGGGAATGGCACTTCTCTGGGGCTGGACTGGGGTCATGCCCTCCAGGGCAGGGACCCCTTCCTTCCTTCCCCCCCCCCCCATCAGGGTCCAGGGTGCACTCCTGTGAAGGATGAGTAAACTGCCTGAAGACCACCTCTCTGAAATGGACCGGGGGAAACTTGGGTGAGGACATCCTGCTGGTAATCCATCAGATTATTATGGGCTTCCCTGGTAGCTCAGATGGTAAAGCGTCTGCCTACAATGCGGGAGACCCAGGTTCGATCCCTGGGTCGGGAAGATCCCCTGGAGAAGGAAATGGCAACCCACTCCAGTATTCTTGCCTGGAGAATCCCATGGACTGAGGATCCTGGTAGGCTACAGTCCATGGGGTCGCAAAGAGTCAGACATGACTGAGCGACTTCACTTCATCTAGCTGTGCACTCACAGGTATTTGAATTAGACTCTTGTGTGTGTGTGTGAATTAGACTCGTGTGTGTGTGTGTGTGTGTTAGTTGCTCAGTTGTGTCTGACTCTTTGCAACCCCATGGATTGTAGCCCACCAGGCTCCTCTGTCCATGGAGTTCTCCAGGCAAGAATACTGGAGTGAGTAGCCATTCCCTTCTCCAGGGGATCTTCCCAGCCCAGGGAGCAAACCCCGGGATTCTGCTTTGCAGGTGGGCTCTTTACTGAGCCATCAGGGAGCAGATAGACCTGGGTTCAGATTTGGCATTGACCTCAGACAGGCTGTCACCCTTGCAACTCCAGTGTCTTTGGGACCTAGTGCTGTTGCAAGGATTAAGATGGGGGACACCTGTAAGTTGCTGGGTGTGGTTCCCAGTCCCTGTAAATGCCCAGTACACACCAGCTGCCACTATCATCAGGTATGCAGGCCAAGGGAGGAGGACCCAAAAGGAAGCATCCACTGTGGATCATGCTCATCTCTGACGGGCAGCATTAATGATATTTGCATTTTTATTCTCTTATGTGGCTTCCTCCTTTCCTCCACAATGAAGAACTATTGCTTTTTATAGAAATTTAAAAGCATCGTAAAAGCCCATACAGAGTGAAGTAAGCCAAAAAGATAAAGACCAATACAGTATACTAACGCATATATATGGAATTTAGAAAGATGGTAACGATAACCCTATATGCAAAACAGAAAAAGAGACCCAGATGTACAAAACAGAATTTTGGACTCTGTGGGAGAAGGTGAGGGTGGGATGTTTTGAGAGAACAGCATCAAAACATGTATATTATCTAGGGTGAAACAGATCACCAGCCCAGGCTGGATGCATGAGACAAGTGCTCGGGCCTGGTGCACTGGGAAGACCCAGAGGAATCGGGTGGAGAGGGAGGTGGGAGGGGGGTCAGGATGGGGAATATATGTAAATCCATGGCTGATTCATGTCAATGTATGACAAAAACCACTACAATATTTTAAAGTAATTAGCCTCCAACTAATAAAAATAAATGGAAAAAAAAAGCATCGTAAGTTACCTTACGATGCAAGGGTTGACACATAAGCTGTATGCTGCTTTGGCAAATTCTCTCAGCTTCCTGGACTCAGTCTCAGTTCAGTTTCTCAGTCATGTCTGACTCTTTGCGACCCCATGGACTGCAGCACGCCAGGCCTCCCTATCCATCACCAACTCCTGGAGGTTGCGCAAACTCATGTCCATTGAGTCGGTGATGCCCTCCAACTATCTCATCCTCTGCTGTCCCCTTCTCCTCCTGCCTTCAATCTTTCCCAGCATCAGGGTCTTTTCAAATGAGTCAGTTCTTCACATCAGGTGGCCAAAGTATTGGAGTTTCAGCTTCAGCATCAGTCCTTCCAATGAATATTTAGGACTGATTTTCTTAGGATGGACTGGTTGGATCTCCTTGCTCTGCAAGGGACTCTGAAGAGTCTTTTCCAACACCACAGTTCAAAAGCATCAATTCTTCAGTACTCAGCTTTCTTTATAGTCCAACTCTCACATCCATACATGACTACTGGAAAAATCATAGCTTTGACTAGATGGACTTTTGTTGGCAAAGTAATGTCTGTATTTTAGTATGCTGTCTAGGTTGGTCATAACTTTTCTTCCAAAGAGCAAGCATCTTTTAATTTCATGGCTGCAGTCACCATCTGCAGTGATTTTGGAGCCCCCCAAAATAAAGTCTGTCACTGTTTGCCCATCTATTTGCCATGAAGTGATGGGACCAGATGCCATGATCTTTGTTTTCTGAATGTTGAATTTTAAGCCAACTTTTTCACTCTCCTCTTTCACTTTCATCAAGAGGCTCTTTAGTTCTTTGCTTTCTGCCATAAGGGTGGTGTCATCTGCCATAAGGATGGACTCAGTCTAGTCATTTGCAAAACAAGAATTTCTTTCCCTGCCCTGCCCATCTGCCTCAATTGTGGTCAGATGAGATGCCAGGTGTGAAGGGGAACTGTCAAGTGCCAGTATATAGGCGAGGGGTTACTGTTACCGATTTGCTGGGGGTTTTTTTCTTCCAGTTTTTCCTTCTGACAGCCTCTCCTTGCTGTCTTTGGAGAGAGTGTAGTAAGGTTCTTTTTCTCCCCCAGAGAAAATGCCTTGAGCTGGAGACAGGAGGTTCTTGCCCCATTGACAGATTCACAGGAAGAGAACCAAAGGTAATTTACAAATGGCATGTTTCTATATGCTTCTGGTGGCCTGGAGGCTCAGAAAGATTGGGGTTTACTCCTCGAGCACCTCATTTAATGTATACATTTTCTCTTTCTTGCGTGTACATACACACACATACACACTTTTTAAAAAAATTTATTTATTTTTTAATTGAGGGATGATTGTTTTACAGAATTTTGCTGTTTTCTGTCAAACCTCAACATGAATCAGCCACAGGTATACATATATCCCCTCCCTTTTGAAACTCCCTCCCATCTCCCTCCCCATCTCCCACCCCTCTAGGTTGATTCTGAGCCCCTGTTGAGTTTCCTGAGCCACACAGCAAATTCCTGTTGGCTATCTCTTTTACATATGGTAATATAAGTTTCCATGTCACTCTTTCCATACATCTCACCCTCTCCTCCCATCTCCCCATGTCCATAGTCTATTGTCTATGTTTCTCCATTGTTGTCCTGTAAATAAATTCTTCAGTACCATTTTTCTAGATTCCGTATATATGCATACACACGTTTTTAAACACATCTGGAAACATGCCCTTTTGAAATCTAAAGTCTCACCTACTAGATCTTGAACACTTTGCCATGCTCTTCAGCTCCCCGAGGAGTGTGTCTTTGATGACTGCACAGCAGTGCGTCATTCAAATGTACCCTGTTAGGCTGGGCAAGCCCCATTTGGAAGGCTGACCATTAGTCTTCCTGAGGTCTACGAGTCCCCGGCCCTCTCCTTCACTGGCTCAACTTGTGGAAGAGGAGAGGGGGACTCTGTAAGTTTTCCTGGAGAGCATGCCCTCTGTATGGATGCCCTCTGTATGGAGACAGGTCAGGCACAGTTGGGAGGCTTATCCCAGGACACAACTGGTGAGCTACAGAGAAGGGACCAAAACCAGACTCCAAGGCTGGGTGCTGCAGCAGCTGGCATCCTGTATTCCCTCCCCTCCCCCAATCCCTCCCAGCTAGGAGAGGGGCTTTTCACCCAACAAGGTTTACTCAGCAGCACTGTTTCTCATTTAGGATAATCTCTTCAACACCTGTTTATGGAGCAGCTCCTGTGTGCAAGGCACTGGGGGATAGAGCTGTAAACAAGGCGGGTGCCGACCCGCCTCAGGGAGCTTGCTGTCTGGTGAGGACAAGACACGAAGAGAAGTCAAACAGACAGATGCCAGCTTGGCCAACGAAGGCCCAGGGGACTCTGAGTTTAAAGTGTCCCCTTCGAAGGCTTCTCGGGTGAGAGTCAAGTTGAGCGTGGAGAGGACATTGATGATAGCAAGTTGCCAGGGAGAGGGAACAGCGTGCACAATGACCTGGATGTTGGTTTTGGAGAAATCCCTTCCTGTCTGTATAATCTGGAGCCAGGGTTCCTCCCAGGTTTTTTTTTCCACCCCTTGGGCATTTTGTTTTTCCTCATTGAGATAACACCGTGTGCTTAATTTGGCAACTAAGTTGGAAAAAGTCAGATATCATAAGAATTTCCCCCTGTTGTTAAATATCTGTGCTGAGCTTGATTTTTTTTTAATTAGTCATGAATATTCCATCTAGATTTTATGCCATGGTTTATTCACCCTTTTCCTAGAGTTGGACATTTAGGCTCTTTCCAAATTATGACCATTAAAAATAAGGCCACAGTAAACATCTTTTTGGGTGAAACTTTTCTTTGTGTTGTGAATTTCAGCTCCAGGCTTCTCAGTGCTCTTTCCCCCTGGCGCCTGTACCCGCCCCCGGTTTCACTGTCTTCCTCTGTCAAATGGAGATTTGTTGTAGCTGTTGTTTAGTCACTAAGTCATATCCTACTCTTTTGCAACTTCATGGACTGTAGCCCACCAGGCTCCTCTTCCAGGCAAGAGTATTGGAATGGGTTGCTATTTCCTTCTCTAGGGACTCTTCCCAACCCAGGGATCGAACCCAGGTCTCCTGCATTGCAGGTGAATTCTTTACCAACTGAGCCACCGGGGAAACCTATCAAATGGAGATAAGAGCATCACCCTTTCGAGACTGTGACCTGGGTGAAGTGAGACAATGCATAAACAGCAAGCCCCTCTCCTGGCAGGCCTGGCGGACCCCACAGTGTTCACTTTCCTCCCTCCCAGCCTGCAGGAGACACGGAGGGGAGTCTCACACACCAGGCAGATGAGGCCTCTGAGTCCTGGGGGGAGGCCAGGCAGGAAGGAGCCACACTTACTGAGTCCTGCCAGGTCCCAGGTGTGGTGCCAGGACCTTGGGACACATGACCCGTGGCCTTCAGAGCAGCCCTGGAGAGTTGGGAGCATCACCTCCATTCCACAGATGAGGAAACAGAGGCACAGAGGGGTCAAACAACCCCTCCGAGATTGCGCAGTGATCTCAGGCAGGACTAAAACCCACGTGTGGTATCCAGCAGGCCTCTCACAGGGCTCGTTTCTTCTTTTGTCTCCTTTTCTGTCCAGACTTGTGACAGGGCCCGCGTGGCCTCCACCCTACGCTACTGCATGATGGTCAGCGGTGCGGTGGTCCTGGTGGCTGGGACCCTCTGCTTCGCCTGGTGGAGTGAAGGAGACGCAGGCCCCCCACCCAGCCAGTTAGCCTCACCCACTGGATGCCCTGAGCCTGTGGCCCCCGGTGCCCTGCTCAGGTCGGTCAGCTTCTTCTGCTGTGGCGCAGGTGGCCTGCTGCTGCTGTTCGGCCTGCTGTGGTCAGTCAAGGCCAGCACCCAGAAGCTGCCTCGATGGGACCCATATCACTTCTCCAGGGACCTGTACTACCTCACTGTGGAGTCCTCAGAGAAGGAGAGCTGCAGGTCAGATGCAGCTGCAGGGAATGGGGGCCACAGGTAGGGCCCGGTCACACCATCAGGCATTTACTCAACAAACTCCCATGGGGTTTCTCCTCTGGTCTAGGTTTACCTATGCTTTGGGGTCCTGGAGGCTTATCAGCACTCCTGAAAGGGTTTTAAGTCCCTTCACAGAGGCAGGCTTTGACAAATCGGAGTAGTTAAAGCTGTGAAAGAGGGCAGACGTGGTCCTATGGGACCATGGAAAAATCCAGGAAGGCTTCCTGGAGGAAGTGGCAGTAGAGATTAGCATGTTATTGGGCAGAGTAGTGTAGGGGTTAAGAACTTACCCACAGGAGTCAGACCCATAGGGATCCTCTCCTGGTTCTGTTACTAACTAGCTATGGGACTTCAGGAGATTATGCAACCCCACTAAACCTCAACATCTCATCAGAAATAAAACAGGAGTCATAAGAATGACAATTGTAGCAAATGCCTATAATGTAATGTAATGTAGTTGCATAGTGTTGAGTCACTAAGTCCTGTCTGACTCTTTGTGACCCCATGGACTGCAACACACCAGGCTTCCCTGTCCTTCACTATCTCCTGGAGTTTTTTCAAACTCATGTTCATTGAGTCAGTGATGCCATGCCATCCAAACACCTCATCCTCTGGCTCCCCCTTCTCCTCCTGCCCTCTATCTTTCCCAGCATCAGGGTCTTTTCCAGTGAGTCGGCTCATAGTACTTACCTGAGATGATGTATATGAAGAACTCAGCCCAAAGCCTGGCACACGGTAGGTGCACAACATATGTCAACTTTTCCTCAAGTGGATAAGGTTGAGAGAGGTGTCTTAAGCAGGCAGAAGAGTATGTGCAAAAGCCCAGGGATGAGGTAGGGAATGGAGAAAAAATCTTACATTTACATAATATTTCTCATGTTTTTTAAAATCACTCCCTCCCAGGAGACTGTTTAGGCCTTTTTTCCCTTAATCCTCCCTCATGGAATGTTAATACCACAGATATACTGTATATTTGGTCTGCATGTATATCTGTGCTTTATACATAAACACAGTATCAGCAAGATTCCCAGAACCAATTTTTGCCCTGTTGAGAATGCATGTATCATACATGCTCTTGTTATGTACTTACTGTTTCACCAAGTGTCTACTGTGCCTGCATATATCAGGGGCCTGCATGCACGTTCCCCAGTCCAGCCCACCTGCAAGGTAAGAATTACTATTTACAGAAAAAGAGGGTGAGGGTTATACAGCTAGAAAGTGGCAGAGCCTGCTGGCTGTGAGGTGTGCGTTCCCTTACACCACTCTGTAAGCACTGGATTTGCACGCACTAAGGGCTAAACCAGATATCCATGAGTTGGCCTGGGACCTGGGCACTCTTCTTCCCTGAGTTAGAGAGGAAAATGCATCCTGAGTTAAGGAAGGTAACCGATTAGTCCCTGCTACTGGCCTGTGGCTCCCTGAGGTCACAGACAATAGAGTGTTCAACGGAAGTCCCTTAGTCCAGTGGTCAGGCCTTGGTTTGACTTTAGAGGGAAGGGCAGGACCTTGGAGCCTCTTCACTTCTCAGATGAGAAACCTGGGTCTCAGAGAGACCAGAGACCTACCTGGTCACACAGTCAGTTATTGGTTGGAACCAGATCATGCCTCAGGGTGCCTGTCCTTCCCCACCCAGCCTGACCTGAACACAGAGAGTGGGTGTTGTCAATACACACAGTTGTGTTGACCCAACAGGGTCTGGGCCACAGCTGCATGTCAGGCGGGGGAACTCAGCCTTCTTTCCCAGCTGGGCCAGGGAGGAACTCACCCACTGCAGGGTACTCATGGCCCATCAAGTTCAGAGACCATGTCTTAGACTCAGAGCCGGAGTGGCTTCATGTTGGGGAGGCTGCTTCTGCTAATGGCTCTGTCTTTTCCCTGGGGCTGAGCTGTCCTGGCCCTCCTACTGAAAGCCCAGCATCTGGGCCCCATGGGAAGGTCACTTAGCTGTCCCTGCCTCCAGGCGCCTTGCTCTCTGTGGGTAACTCCAGGTTAGAGATAAAGACCATCTAGGCTGATGACTTGGGTGGGCCCATTTCCCTCTTGGGGCCTCAGTTTCCTCATTTATTCATCTGCTTATTCTTTCATGCATTTCACCAACATTTACTGAGTACCTAATTCTGCAGGGCACTGACAATGAAGCAGTGGACAAAATAGACAAAACCCCTACTCTCAGGGGCTCCCATATGAAATGTCAGCCCTACATGAAGTGCCTGGGTGGGAGGCCTCTGAGATCCCCCACCCCCAACCACAGGGAGAACAGCAGAAAAAAGCATGGGTCTAGTCGGACATAAGGCTGTCAGTGTCTACTCTTTCCTAAGCTGTGTGTTCTTGAGCCTGTTACTTAGACTCTCTGAGGCATATCTAGTTTTTCCCGTCAATCCTGGAATTTTCCCTAGGATTGCCGTTAGGCTCAAATGAGATGATAGATGAGGAGGTGTAGTTACTGCAAAACTCAATCCTCTTCCTTTGCTTTCATTTGACGATGTACTTTCATGCCCACTGATTTAAGCCTCGCTGCTTAAAAGGCAATGTAAGGTCCATTTTACAGATGAGAAAGTTGAGGTACGGAGAGATTAGGGATCGGGTAGGGGAGGTGTGATGGTTGGCGTTGGCTGGGGCTTTGCTGCTTGGTTGATGTGCGGCCCTAGTTTACCTGTGCGATGACTGACCAGGCTTGTCACAAGTGTGAAATGAGATTAGAGAGCCTGAGTGTAGGAGCAAATAGTGCTTCACCCCTGGTCCCTTTCCCCTTTCCTGACTATAGATGGTTGTCTGACTCTGCTGAATGGTGGAGAAGCTGATGCTAGGCTCAGATTGTCTGTCGCCACCAGGCTCAGTGAAGCTTCCTGAGCACGGGGACCACAGCGGCCTGCCCGCCACACCCAGCTGCAGGGAGCCACGTCCAGGATACGCCATGAATGGGTCTGCCCCTCAACTGTGCAATGTGGTCCATCTGCCTTGGGCTTCATGTTTCCCAAGTTTCCGGCTTTCGGGACCATGACTGTGGTGACCTGGGGCTGGGTGGGCCCAGCTGGCTAGGTGGGATGGTGTGAGGGCTACTGCAGCTCTGCCTTCTAAGCAAACTTCCTGCCGTGGGCTGGTCTCACCTGGTAGCTATGCCCTACCCTGCCAGCTGTTGCCTGCTGAAGCAGTGCCAGGACTACCCAAAGCCTGCCTCGTGTCTCCCGGGCTTGGAGAAGTAGGGAGTGGCTGGGGCATGGCTCGGAGGTGAGCAGGGCAGGAGATGTGGGCTTCTGGAAGCCTAATCATCCACATTTTCCTGAGTGTTGTCAAAGCATTTTCCATTTTCCCTTTCTCTGAATCTATAAAGTAGAAATTGTTATCCTCATTTTACAAATGAGAGAAAAGAGGGTCAGATTGGGTATGAACATAGCCTAGGTCACATAGCAATTGAACCTAGCTTGCCTGCCTCCAGGAGCAATATTCTTTGTCTGCCCTCACTTCAAATGACACTGTGAGTCAGAGGCGGGTGGAACCCCTTATCAGCTTCCTTGACCAGAGTGCCCCTGTATTATCTCATTTAATCTTTGCATGGTCCTGTGAGGTCGGTGCCTATATTGTCCTGTCCCCATTTACAGATGGGGAAACTGGGGCTCAGGTTAATAGAGTGACTTGACTGCTTGCAAAAGTTTTCACTTTCATCTCAGGTTCAAAGGATTTGTAACAAAATAAGCCACTCGTTACATGCAAATAAATAATACAGGTATTTATTAGAGAATTACCTAACTTATTTTCAACATACTAACATTAAAAGGAAAGAGAAATAGACCAGAGACTACATCACCAAATTGGGTTTTGACCAACATCCGGACTTGAACAGCGCTGGGAAGTCCAGTGTCACAGCACATCTAGAGTCCCAGTTGGGAAAGGGTCCCAGGCAGCCTGTCAGCTCTGTGGGTGAGACTTCAAAGATTGCAGTTTGAAGTCCCATTTATAATTCCAGGATGGTGGCAAACTGATATCATCATCAACCTGTGACCAAATTGCAGCTCTGGCTTCATGTTAATGCTGTTTATTTTGTCTTGTGAAACTTGAAATGTGGTTCAGCCTGGGGCTTGGTTGGCCAGGCACCCTCTAGCGGCTCAACAATCTCGAGATTTCTCCCCCATCTTATCTATGGTACTGCAAGTCTTGCGCTCACAGCAGTCATTCACAGTCAGGGCAGTGTCCAGGTAGGTTAGAAGCAAGGTCAGAGGCCTGCTCTGCTTTGTCTCTGAAGCCTAAACAAGACTATTCATTTAATTTCCCTAACACCGACCCACGATCTCCCACTGAGAATGTGGCTGGGCAGGGAGCTGAACTGGCCAACGCTGTGACTCATAATCAATCCTAGAGATGCTTGGGGTGGGAAGGGACCTCCAGAATCACCTGTCAGCCCCTGTGTGTGGCAGTACCTTCCCAAAGCAGAAGCATCCCAGACATAGGATCAGTGACATTCCTACCCCCAAGGTCCTGTGCAGGGAAGGAGCACTGACTCCCTACAGGTGATTCTCCAGGGCCCTGAGAGGACAGAGGGTCAGCCTCATTTCCATCAGCTCTGGTGTGATTGGGATGCAAGTGACCTATTCTTGGAATCTAAAGGGCAGAGCCTGGTCAGAAGAGCCTGGAGGGAACTCAAGTCCCTGCAGGGTGGTTCATCTAGGGGCGGTGGGGGAAAGTCACAAGAAAGCCAAGCTGCTCAGAGATAGATATGGTTGTCTGAGTAGAGAGTGAGCTCTCTGTCTCTGGAGGTATGCAAGCAGAGGCAGTCACTTAGCAGACTTACCATATCAGGGCCTCAAGCATTCAGACGGGCAGGGGAATTGAGGTCTCCTATCTTGCCCTGAGCACCTGCAACTCCAGACCTTGTAAGGGAGATTAGAGTAAGATGGAAGTCTTTCTCCCCATGGATCATCATTTAGTTTTTCAACAAACAACCCCCCCCACCCCCAGTATCAATCCCTGGACCCTTAAAGTCAGTCCCTGCCCTAGGGGACCGCCAGGTGGGGTCAACGCAGTGACGGAGGGAAGAGTCCTGTGGGGGCCCAGAGCAGGGAGTGGGAGCTTGGTGAAGGGACGTCAGCAGAGCTCCCCAGAGGAGACTCCAAGGACAGGTGGGAACTGAAAGGGAAGCAGGGAAGGTGTGAGGGAGGTGGGAAGGACTTTCCCTGCAGAGAGAATGGAGGAGACAGAGGGTGCGATGAGGCTGGGTGGAGAGCTAACAGAATGGAGGTCTGACTACAAGGCAGGGAGAGCACAGTCAAGGAGCTGACGGGGCCAGACGCTGGCGGCTGTCACGCTCCCTCCGTGTCTGTGGGGCCGGGGAAGCCTCCCTCCCCCCTCCCTGGTGTGCGTTGGGTTTTACCCCAGCCCTGCTGATAGCCTCTCTTCGGTCCCTCTAGGACCCCAGAGGTGGTTACCATCCCCACTTACGAGGAGGCTGTGCACTGCCCACTGGCTGGGGGACTCTCGACACCACCTGCGTCCCTTGTGGAGGAAGACCTGGAGCGTGGTGCCTCGGGGGATGCCCTGCCTGGGGCTCAGCCCCCCTTGCCTCCACCCAGTTATGAGAGCCTCATCTTCGCTGCCGGTGGCATCTCTGGAGAGGCGGCACCTGGGGCTGCATGCTCCCTTGCGGGCCCTGTTCAGATTACGGAGGGTGGAAGTTCAAGTCTTCTAGCAGGCCTGGAAGCTGGAGACCAATGATGGGCTTCTTCTAAGTGTCTGGCCCAGTGCCTGGTACACACAGGCAGTCAACAAATACTGCTGAATGCTGTTTTGTTTTTTCGATCGCTGTGTAACAAATGGCTGAAAATAAATCCATTTTATGATCTCTCATGATCCTGTGGATTGCCTGGGCCCAGCTGGGTGGTCCTACTGCCCTTTGTGTGTTGTTGGGGCTCCTGTCCCTGGGGCCCAGGGCACCCACGATGGCACTTCCACATGGCTGGCAGTTACTGTTGGCTGTCAGTGGGGAAATATTCTTGTGCTGATGAGGAAATTGGGGCCTAGAGGCAGAGCCAGGACTGGCCCAAAGTAATGCACTAAGTTTTGGTTATACCAAAAGAACATGAACTCTGAATTCAGGCCATCTGCGCATGAGTTCCACCAGGTACCAGCTGAATGACTTTGGACGAGTGACCATACCTCTCTCTGCCTCAGTTTCCTCATCTGTTAAATGGGAATTACGGAGGCACCAGCCCCTACCTTAGAGAGCTGAGTTTTGAGCATTAAATGAGATGATAGCAGGTGACATTATGAGATCACACTGAACCTGCAGGCTCGGTGTTAATGCAGCAAACAATAAACGCAGACTTCTGAGCCCAGTAGCAGCGTCTCTTAAGTATGCAGTGATTGGTAGGTTTTGTTAGCGGAGGTAACCGCCCTCCAGTAGGTGCCTCTGCTCCCAGACCTCCTGTGACAGGGAGCTTCACGCCTCTTCTTGTATTCCAGATACGACAGAAATGTCTGCTTCCAGAATGTCACACCCCATTCACAGATGAGAAAACTGGCCCAGAGAGGTTAAGTTACCTTCCGAGGGTCACTCTGCAAGCAGGAGTTCCAAGCCCTGGGGCTCAGTCAGTTGTGTAGGTACAGCCTTCCCTGAGGAGCTTCTCGTTTACCAGGCCAGGCTCCCTGCAGTTCACATCCTCAAGGTGTTTGCTACAGGTAGTGTCCCCATTTAACAGGTGTGGAGACTGAGTCTAAGAGAGGTAAAATCACAGAGAATAAGTTTTTCACATAAATAAAAGTGCTTTCATTCAGGCCTGGTTGGACTCGTCTTTGGATCCTCCCATTTAGCCCTGGCAGGGCTCGTTACCTGCCATCCCGTCTCCCTGCTTCTGCCAAGGTCCGCTGACGTCTCTTCAAAGTTTAGTGGAAAGTGTTAGTCGCTCAGTTGTGCTGACTCTTTGCAAACCCAGGGACTTGTAGCCTACCAGGCTACTCACCCACGGAATTCTCCAGGCAGGAATACTGGCGTGGGTGGCCATTCCCTTCTCCAGAGGATCTTCCTGACCCAGAGATCAAACTCGGGTCTCCATTGCAGGCACATTCTTTACTTGGTGTCTTTACGTGGTGTCTGAGCCACCATGGAAACCCACTGGACAGAGGGAGCCTGATCAAACTCAGATCTGTGACACCCCTCCCGGGCTCAAACCCCGAGTGGTTCCCAGGTCACTCTATGAGTAATGAAATCTCTAATAAGGATTCTGTGGCTGGGTCTGGATCCCTGCCCTTGCTCTCTGCTATAATCGGCCCTCCTATGGGCCTTGACTCCTGTCTTCTATCTCTGGAAGTTTTCCTCCAGGCTTACGCCTACTCCTTATGCTCCTCACATCTTTGTCTGAACATTTCTTCAAGATACCATCCTGAGCCAATCTGTTAAAACTATTATTCCACCCAGCACCCTGCACTCCCAGCCTCCTCCCTGCTCTACTTTTTGAATAACACCTGTCATCATTTAATATTTCACCCTTAAAAAATTTGTGAGTTTGTTTATTATGTTTCTACTCACCAGCAAGCTCTCTGAGAGCAGGGATCTTCTTGCTTCTTTCCTTTACTATTATATACACACAGTATACACAATTATACAATTCCTTCACCTAAAGCTTAGAAACAGTGCCTGGCCTGTGGAAGATGCTCAGTAGATATTTGTTGACTGAGAATGAATCAAAAAAGGTCAGTTATCCCGGTTATTCCTGGGCCCTCTCTCAGCCACCTGAGCCAGACCTTGTGGTTCTTCTCATGGATCTTGTGGATCCTCTCCCTTCCCCATCACCAGATCCTGGATCCTACCCTGTACTTCTTTATCTCTTCCTTGTGTGTGCCTTGTATTTCCTGCTATGATGGAGATGCAGGTTTGAATTCTGCCTTGGCCTTGACCTTTCTGTGGGACCCTGAGATGCACAGGTGCAGGCACATGCGTGTTCACACACGCACACACACCAGCTTTCACTGTGTACCTTGGGGATTTGGCTGGGGGAGGTGCAAGGGATTCATCAGGACCTCTGCAATTCCTATGGGGTTAAAGGGGTTCCAGGCTGGGAAGCAAAGCCCAGCTTCCCTCCTACCTCCAAACCGAGGAATTTCCCCCAGGCAGGTGAGTTAATGAGTTGCAGGTGTGATCTGGAGGCACCACATTTGCCAAGCAGGAGCTGGAAGAGGCAGGAGCTGGGGAGAGCTGGAAGACTGGAAAAACTTTTTCTATAGTCCTAAGTCATCTGCGTCCCAACTGAAAGTCCTCAGGAGGGGCAGTGGTTTGCTCAAGGTCACCAGCTCCTTGCAGGCCAAGCCAGGGCCATGGAGCCAGTCTCCTGACAAGCCAGGGTCCCTTCTGAGCTGCAGTGGCCTCAACTGTGAACTGGGAAGGGCTCAGGTTGAGCAGCCCCATGAGGCAGGGTCTGTCAACCCAGCCCCCAGGAGGCGCTGGTTCTCTTTCTGGTCTCTTTCCTCCTGGGCCCGGCTGACCAGTTTATTCGTCCATCACCCAGAGCTCACCTCTGATGCCTGTCACCAGGCCTGGGATATCAGAGACACTCTGGACTCAGGCCTCACCCCCTCCTTGCACTGGGCCCCTCTTTTGACCTGTTTTCCTCTGCGTTGACTGGTGACCCCACCCCCTGGGGCTCACCACCTCAAATCAGTTGGAAAATTCCCTCGCTCTCCATCCCTTCAGCAGCTCTTTTAAAAAGTGTTCATTTTAATCTTTATAGCCCTAGGTTTCTGGTAGAGTCTGGTGACTGCCCCTCACTTCTACCATCTCCTTTTGCTTCTTCCAACCTGATCTCAGACCCAGAGGATGGATACAAAATGAAAATCCAACCCGTGTCACTCCCCACGTAACTCCCTTGGAGACTCCCCATTGGCCTCTGAAAGATGCCGGCTCCCCTGGCCTGACCCCAGGTTTCCTGCCTGCGCTTCCTCTCTGGCCTCCCTCTCCTCTGGAGCTGACAGTCATCCCTCGATTCCCCAAATATGAATTGAGAGCCGACCAGGTCTAACCCCTGGAGATCCAACAATGAACAAAACAAAGCCCCAAGCCTGTAGGAGCTCGAGTTCTAGTGGGGGAATTCAGATAAGAGGTGAGATTCATAAATTATGTGTAGTGTAATCGATGGTGCTGAGCATTATGGAGAAGAGTAAATTAGGAAAGGAGGGCAGGGAACACCTGGGGGAGGGGGGTCCTGCAGTTTTGGATGTCACACCAGAGAAGGCTTCATTGTGAAGCTGACATCTGGATATAGACTTGAAGGAGGTAAGGGAGGGAGCTGTGCAGATATCTGGAGAAAGAGCCTTCTAGGTGGAAGGATGAACAGGTGCAAAGGCCCTGGGGTGCTTGTGTATTCCCAGAAAAGCATACAGCCAGGATGACTAGGGTGGAATGAGTGAGGGGAGGTGTGGCAGGAGGCTAGCTCAGAGCAGTGATAGGCTGGGCAGATTATCTAGGGTTTTATAGGCCATTTTAAGTCCTGAGTTTTACTCTGATAGGGAAGGGAACCATTGCAGGGCTCTGAGGAGAGATGTGACATGGTCTAACCTGGCATTTGGGTTGGGAAAACTCTGTAGCCAGCAAGGGTCTAAGAGACCACTTAGAAGGATAGACATGATGGGCCTCAGACCAGAGTGATGAGCTGTAGTGGGAGTGAGTGGAATTCTCCAGGCCAGAATATTAGAGTGGGTAGCCTTTCTCTTCTCCAGAGGATCTTCCCAATCCAGGGATCGAACCCAGGCCTCCCGCATTACAGGCAGATTCTTTATCAGCTGAGCTGCAAAGGAAGCCCAAGAATACTGGAGTGGGTAGCCTGTCCCTTCTTCAGCAGATCTTCCTGAGCCAGGAATCGAACCGGGGTCTCCTGCATTGCAGGCGGATTCTTTACCAACCGAGCTATCAGGAAAGCCCTCTGTCCCAGAGGCAGGGCCAATAGCATGTGGATGAGAGAGAGGAAGTGAGGATGGTGGCCAGGGTATCCAGGTGGTAGAAGGATGGAGCTGAATGGAGGCGCAGGTAGGGGACGGGGGAGGATGATGCAGTGTGGGGGTGGTGTGCGCACAGCATTTAGTTTTACCTTCAGCCAAGTGTCAGTGCTCACTTGCCTCTGGGCCTTTGCACATGTTGATCTCTTTGCCTGAACTGCTTTTCCTGCCCTGACAGAAGAATGCCAACAGGCTTCTCAAGAGTCCCTCCTGTCTTCTTTGGAGAAATGTTTGTTTAGTTCTTTGCCAATTTTTTGATTGGGTCATTTATTTTTCTGGAATAAAAGATGCTCAACATCACTCATTATCAGAGAAATGCAAATCAAGACCACAATGAGGTACCATTACACGCCAGTCAGGATGGCTGCTATCCAAAAGTCTACAAGCAATAAATGCTGGAGAGGGTGAGGAGAAAAGGGAACCCTCTTACACTGTTAGTGGGAATGCAAACTAGTACAGCCACTATGGAGAACAGTGTGGAGATTCCTTAAAAAACTGGAAATAGAACTGCCATATGACCCAGCAATCCCACTGCTGGGCATACACACCGAGGAAACCAGAATTGAAAGAGATATGTGTACCCCAATGTTCATTGTAGCACTGTTTACAATAGCTAGGACATGGAAGCAACCTAGATGCCCATTGGCAGACGAATGGATAAGGAAGTTATGGTACATATACACAATGGAATATTACTCAGCCATTAAAAAGAATACATTTGAACCAGTTCTAATGAGGTGGATGAAACTGGAACCTATTATACAGAATGAAGTAAGTCAGAATGAAAAACACCAGTACAGTATACTAACACATATATATGGAATTTAGAAAGATGGTAATGATGACTCTATATGTGAGACAACAAAAGAGACACAGATGTATAGAACAGTCTCTTGGACTCTGTGGGAGAAGGCGAGGGTGGGATGATTTGAGAGAATAGCATTGAAACATGTATATTATCATATGTGAAACAGATCGCCAGTCCAGGTTCCATGCATGAGACAGGGTGCTCAGGGCTGGTGCACTGGGATGACCCTGAGGGATGGGATGGGGAGGGAGGTGGGAGAGGGGTTCAGGATGGGGAACACATCTACACCCATGACTGATTCATGTCAATGTATGGCAAAACCCACTACAATATTGTAAACTAATTAGCCTTCAATTAAAATAAATAACTAAATCCCTCCTGGGACTCTGTCCTTTCATTCCCGCCTTGGGCCACCCCCTCCCCAGTCTCTGCTTCTGTCTGCTTTGTGCACTTGCTGAACCTCAGATGTGTCTCAGAGCCTTTACCATGTTGTGCCCCGCGAAATAGGAAAGAAAGTGAAAGTGAAGTCGCTCAGTCGAGTCCGACCCTTTGGGACCCCATGGGCTGTATTTTAGGCTGCCAGGCTCCTCCATCCATGGGATTTTCCAGGTAAGAATACTGGAGTGGTTTGCCATTTCCTTCTCCAGGCGATCTTCCCGACCCAGAACTCGAACCCGGGTCTCCCACACTGCAGGTAGACTCTACCATCTGAGCCACCACCAGCCATCACGCTGAAAACCCATGTTCTCAGATACCCACACCTCGGAGTGAGCTACATATAGCAGGTACTCAACAGGACTGACTTGAGGCCTCGTTTGAATCCTGGCTCTGCTCTTTACAGGCTCTGCGATCTTGGGCCGCTTATCCTGCCTTTGAGAGCCTCAGTTTCTGTCAAATGGGTGTGATATTTCACCGACCCGCAGAGGCAGTTGTTGAGATCTTGCGGGGAAGCTGAATTCTGTAAACGGGGAAGAAAACAGTGGTTAGCGCGCCCTCTGCTGCAAGATGGTAGACTCTGCAACTTGCTCCTCAGGCTCACCCCGCTTTGCAGGGGTGGAAGGCAGAAGTCAGAGGCAGGTGGGAGGCGAGTGGGAACCGCGGATCACCCAATACTTCTAATGCGCTGTACACACGTGTCCCCACTTCACCACGGCTCTGTGAAAGAGGTTAGATTAGACCCATTTTACAGAGCACCTACTTGTCCCAGAGCTTCCTACTCTTGTCACTCCCAGCCCCCGACCTGTTTTAAGGAGAGAAAAGGCGGAAAGGGGGTGAGTAGTGGAGAGGAAAGAAAAGATGGGGAAACAAGGAGAGTGCTGGGGTGACCAGGAGGCTTCTCAGGAAGCCCTAAGGACCAGCTTCATCTACAATGGGACTGGGGCTGCGCGTTCAGGTCCGCGTTCAGCCCCCAGTTTAGTTTGGGGAGATCTTTGGAGAGATGTCCCCGGACTGTTTCCTCGCCTGTGAAATAGGCAGGGTAACCTCTTCCGGTAGCCTCACGGGCTTGCGGGACTCTGGCAAGACCGAAGAGATGTGAAAGCACCTAGCCAAGTGCCTGCTACGATGGCCACCAGGGGGCGCGAGCGGCTCCTGTTGGATTGCGACCAAGGAGACCTATTCCCGCCGCGGTGGACCCGCTCCAGGACCAGAAAGGGCAGGCTGAAGCCCCTCTGGGCCCCGGATTCATTTTCTGGGAGGGGCGTGTAGCTTCCCTTCTCTGAGCCTGTATAAAATTGATAGTAGTGTTTCCCTGGAGGGTGTGTGCTCAGAAGTGTCCAACTCTGCGACCCCATCAGGCTCCTCTGTCCATGGGATTTTACAGATAAGAATACTGGAGTGGGTTGCCTCTTCCAGGGGATCTTCCCGACCCAGGGATCGAACCTGTGACTGCTGCGTCTCCTGCATTGGCAGGCGGATTCTTTAACACTGAGCCGCCTGGGGTTCTGCCCTGTAAATAATCCCGGTTTACAAAGCGTTTTTCCCTCTATCATGTCACCTCCCTCCACAACCCCTGGGTGGTAACTTGATACCACGTTCAAAGATGACAAACTGGCAGAGCGGCCAAGCCAAGGTCACCCTGGGAAACAGCAAACGTGGATGTCACCCTGTGCCTTTCAGCCCTTTCTGCTCTCTGTCACCTCTCACTGGAAGGGTCACCTGAGTTCTGCTACAGGGAACCTTCTCTGCAAACTGTAAAGTGCTGGCTGGATCTGAGGGCTGGTGAAAGACAAACTGCTTCATAATGAAACTCCAAGGCACTGTGGGCAGTGACACCAGAGTGTATCATGTGAACATAGGTGTGGTGTTGGGAACCAGTACAGCTTGCGTTGGGGGTGGAGGGAGCAGGTGACAACAACAAACAGGAAGATTCCCCAAGCCTATGAAGTCCGGATGCCAAGTGAAAGCCTTTTATCCTGCAACACCAATTCAGAGCCAGTTCAACCCCGTAGGAACAAGTGAGTGCTTTCTTTTAGAGATACTCTTGACCAGCATTTTCCTATAATCCTCTGTGAGAATCTGATTTTTCCCATCAGCCTCCTGCAGAACTGAAATTCCACCATTAGAATGTCATTCTTAGAAGGAGGGCATCTTCCTTCAACCAATCACACCCTAGAGGGGCACTGCCCACTAGAGCCTTTCATGGCCAGCTCATGACCAGTAGGCCCGGATGGATCACAGAGCATGGGAAGGGGGGGGCAGAGGCACCCAGGGAGGCCAGGCCTGGAGACAGACCTAGTCCTGCGAGTTGCTATTATTATCCCCATTGTAGAGAGGAGGAAGACTGAGGCACAGGCGGTAACTGGATCAAGACTGCCCCATAGTAGAGGAGCCAGAACCCAAGCCAGGAAGTTTGTATGACCACCTGTACTTTTAACGTTTGTGCTATAGTTAGGCAGTTTCACCCGGGGAAAATACTATGTTCAAATGCCAACTACCCTGTCTTTTCTGGCTGTGTGACCTTGACCATGTATCCGTGTCTTCATTTATAAAGTATGGATAGTAGTGCCTACCTTACAGGGTTCCCTAAATGAGTTAATACGTATCACATGTTTAAAATAGAGCCTTGCATGCAGGCATCATTCGTAACTAGTGGCCAGGTAGGCACATGACCTTGAAGAGTCTAAAATTCTTCAGGATTCTAAAATGCCAGCCTGTGGGATCCTGGAATCCCCAGTGGCATTCTGATGTTTTTGGGCTGCAATATTTACCTGCTTCCCCTGGCTGGATGGTGCAGGCTGCTGTTTGCCCAGCTCAGCCCCACACAGGGAAATGAGGTGATGTCAAAGCCTGGGCTGGGGCCCAGCCCCTGGAACCTCCCATTCCCTCCCTTGTGTCTCCCTCACTCGGATTCCCACACGCTCCAGAGGGCCCAGAGGGAAGGTGAGAGGTGTGAAGGTGGGGGCACACAGCCACCTGCGCATAACTCCTCCAGCCTGGAGAACGGGGAGTGCCCCGTGGCTGGGCTGGACCTGAAGGGAGCCTGCCTTCCTCTCGGCTTAAGTGCTGATCGGCAGCGATCCCGGAGTGTCACTCCTCAAGTGTGAGTGCGTGTGAAGGTAGCTGGCTGGTTTGCTGGCGCCCCTCTGTGAGGTGGCTCACAGGCCAGGCTTGGCCAGGCAGCCATGACTGATGAGAAGACCTTCCGCATCGGCTTCATTGTGCTGGGGCTCTTTCTGCTGGCCCTTGGCACATTCCTCATGAGCCACGACCGGCCCCAGGTCTACGGCACCTTCTACGCCATGGGAGGCGTCATGGTGATCGGGGGCGTCATCTGGAGCATGTGCCAATGCTACCCCAAGGTAGGTGGGAACAGTGGGAACAGGTGGGCTGGGGGCCAGGGCCCAGGAGGGTCTGGGGCTGTGCCTCTATTCCAGGCATCAGTGCCCCATCCTTCAATCATCTTGTCATCCTCTCCCCTTTACCCTTTCTTTTCTTATCTCCACTCTCCTGAGCATCCATCCATCCATCCATCCATCCATCCATCATGCCTCCATCCATTCCTTAGCATAAAGATTAATCAGAAGTCCCCTGAGTCTGGAGCCCTGAACTAGGTACCATGGGGGAGACACTAGGCTCCATGTCTAGGTACCTAGGAGAACTAGGTACCATGGGGGAGACACTAGGCTCCATGTCTAGGTACCTAGGAGAACTAGGTACCATGGGGGAGACACTAGGCTCCATGTCTAGGTACCTAGGAGAACTAGGTACCATGGGGGAGACACAATCCAGGGTCTTGAAACCAGAGTTCTTGAGGGCTTGCTGCCTGCCGGGCACACCTGTATCCCTAGTGAAGTTCAGCATCCATCCTGAGCTTTTTGGTACTTCTGAAGTTCTATGTTTATAGTGGAGAAGCCTGAGGCTCAGAAAGTGAGGTTCCCACAGCTCCTGGGTATCAGAGTTGGGATCAGAGCTCAGATGCGTGGTGTCTAAAGCATAACCTTCCTCAGGAGGACGGTCCCTGTGTCCCAGAGCTGCTGAGAGCTCTGAGTGAGTCAGCTGGAACTTCATGGCTTGGGCAGTGCTCTCTCTTTTTGGAGTTTTAATGTACTCCTAGCCTAATGAGTGACTTAATGATGGGAAGAGCACTGGTTTGAGAGTCTTGAGTTCTAGTTCTAGCTCTGTTCCAAAGTCTCCATGTGACCTTTGTCTTTCTGAGCCTCCGTTTCTTTTATCTGCAAAATGAGGCCCTGGGCTCCTATTTCTCCCAGCCTCATGGTTATTATGGAGAACAGAGAAGAGATGAACACTTTTGTGAACCGTAGAGTGTAATATTTAGGTGAAAGGCTGTCACCCTTACTGTTATTGATCCTCCCAACAAACCTGTGGAATGGGCATATCAAGTGTTGTAATCTTTTGGTGCCCAGAGAGGTTGAGTGGCTTTTCCAAGGTCACACAGTAGCTGGTCAGCTAGATCCAGGGAGGCAAGGAAAGAGGCATGGATTCTAATTTGCACTCTGCCTCTAATTACCTGGGAGACTTTGGTTAAGCTCCTTCCCTCTCTGAGTCTGTTTCCACGTTTGTAGAATGTGTGAGTCAGGAAGAGGGGGTGGGAAAGTGGGTGTATCTTAAGGACCCCGCTGGTCCTGCCATCTGGGGCTCCAGTCTCCAGGCAGCCGCCACCCCCTTTTCTCCCCCTACCCCCCACAGGCCCCTCCTCACCTCTCACCTGGGTAGCTCTGCTGGGGTTTGGGAGGAGGGAGGAGGCTCCCGGGGCCTGGGTTAGGCTCTCCCAGCCCTGCTTCCTCCATGGGCAGCCCCAGGCTGTCAGAGCGTTTATTCAGCGCTGGGGCGGTCCAGGCTGGTTTGTAGTCATTTACTGAGCAGTTTACAGTCAACCCGACTCTGCAATGCCCTGAGCAGAGGTCACTGGGAGAAGAAGGCCTTGGGGCCGAGCCACCCACGTCACCACCGCCTTCATCGTCATCCTCCCAATGAGGAGCCTGGACCCTGGGGGACGGCAAGGCGACGGCTGTGGGGGAGGATGGGGGGAGGGTCCTTCTTGCCCTGGCCCCCTTCACAGAGCTGGCTGTGGGCGGGGAAGGGGAGGGGGGCAGAGTGGCGGTGGGGATGAGGGAGAGAGATCAGGGACAGGGAATATTCTCGAGTATTAATGAGTAACTGTTGACGGATTCACGTGTTCCTGTGCTGCAGAGGCTGCATGGTGGGGTAGAAAGAGCACAGGTTTCAGCGTCCACAGGGCCCAGACTCAGATCTCTCCTCCCTGCGCTCCACTTCTGTGACCCTGGCAGAAGAATCCCCTTCCTCCCTGAGACTTACATGGCCGGATGGGAGGAACCAATATGGTTTTGTATGTGGGGACCTGGCATCATGCCTGGCTGTCTCAAGATCAGTGTTGTGGCTTTGAGCGGGTCTTTGTATGTATGTGCAGGTGTGCGAGCACAGATGTGGATGTGTGTTTCAGGGCCACAGGCTGTTAGGGCGGCACATTAAGGGAGAGAAGGCAAGTGTGTTGTAAACCAGGGAGGTGTGCTAGACGAGGGTCCCCTCTCCCACGTCGTCTCACTGGAGCCTGGGCCACTGGAACCCTCAGCAAATACTGATGCCAGTCTTCCCTGCTAGATCCTCTCCTGCCTCAGAACCTGACAAGTGGGAATTTTCTGGATTAACAGAAATATAAATAGAAGGGAATAGAATTAGACCATTATGATATGGGGGTAAAGTAGATAAGTAAAGTTGTTTAGTTGTGTCCCACTCTTTGCAACTCTGTGGAATTCTCCAAGCCAGAATACTGGAGTAAGTAGCCTTTCCCTTCTCCAGAGGATCTTCCCATCCCTGGGATCGAACCCAGGCCTCCCGCATTGCAGGCTGATTCTTTACCAGCTGAGCCACAAGGGAAGCCTGATATGGCGGTGATACCAGTGTGAATTAAGCTGTCCCTGTCTTTGGGGGACTGGGGGTCTCGTGGAGGAGACAATTTTATACCTGCTGTGGAGGGAGTGGGTTTCACAGAAAGAGGATTTGGGGTTTGTAGGTAAAGTAGAAGTTCGCCAGGCAGAAAAGATGAGGAAAGACATTCTGGGCAGAGGGAACAGGGTGAACAAAGACATGAGGTGAAAGAGCAAGGCAAGTGGGTCAACGTGACTGGAGGGTGCGCGGAACAAGGGAAGGTGGAGAGGGAGTGGGGCTTGGGCCCGTGGGGCCTGGATGCCATGCTGAGGACTTCAGACCCTACACTGTAGCTGATGGGACAAGAGAGGGACATGAGCAGCTTTGCAGTTCAGGAAAGTTATCAGGCTGACATCTGGGAGGAGGAAGTTTCAAAAGCAACCAGCCAGCGGCGTTGGGCTGGGGGGTGATGCTCCTTCTCTGGTCCAGGTGAGAGGTGATCATCTTCTAGATTAAGACAGAACTTGAGCCCAAGGCTGTAGGAGTGGAGAAGACATTTCCAGTTCATCAAACATACAGTACCTGCTGTGGCTAGGTGTGGCCCTGGTACTTCCAGCTTGCTTACTTTATTGAATTTCCGAAGTAGACTTGTTCAGATTTAGTGGTCAGCAGGGTTTCGGGCTTGAGAGGAGGAGGAATCGGGATAAATCTAGCCGGTGGGACAGTCAGGGATGCTGTGCTTGTTAACTGAGGTGGGGCAAGGAGGACTGACTGGAAAAGCTGGACCTCTTTGCCAGCTTCTGCTTTTACCCTCAAGTTCCCCACTCCCCACTCCCCACTCCTGCCTGCTCTGCTGGAGCCCAGGACCAGACCCCTGATTGGTGACTGATGGATTGACCTCTCCATGGACCTCCCTCCATCATCCCTCTGTTCCCTCCCTCTGGGAACTGCCCAAAACTCTGCCCAAACACAAATCTCTCTGTGAACTTCTCCAGAGCTCCCACTGCTCCTGGATAAAGGCTGAATTTCTTAGCTGGGTGCTTTGTGGTCTTCATGGTCTGATCTCCCCTTCCCAGCTTCAACTCTGCCTGTCCCCCTCTCTTAGAAGACTTTGTGTTGTAAGATGCACAGGACTCTCCTCCTCCTCCAGGCTTTCACAGTCGCAATGACAAGGATGCTGTAGGGTGGTAATGCTGCTGCTGCTGGAGGTGCAGGTGCTGATGGGGGTGAGATGATTATGATGCTGATGGAGATAATGGTGGTGATTATTACGATGAAGAGGAGGATGACTGGAGGAAGGGGAAGCTTCTGGGAAATACAGAACCATCTGGCAAATGCAGGACATTCTTAGATGGAAGATACCCAGGGCCCTTCCTCATTTCCAGACGTTTGGGGGAAAGCTTACTACTCACAGGTGTTCTAAGAATCCCTCCAGCTCTCATTCCCTTCTCCCCATGAGGATTGGGCTTTGATGGTGCAGACAAGTGTCTTTCACTCACTGTACTCTGTGGGAAGGGAGAAAGGAGGCTGCTGTTTATGAACCTGGTATAACACTGGAAAATGAAGTGAAAGTGTTAGCTGCTCAGTCGTGTCCAACTCTTTGTGACCCCATGGACTGTAGCACACCAGGCTCCTCTGGGGTTCCTCTGTCCATGGGATTCTCCAGGCAAGAATACTGGAGTGGGTAACCATTCCCTTCTCGCCGGGGGTTCTTCCCCACCTGGGATCGAATCCAGGTCTCCCACATTGCAGGCAGATTCTTTACCCTCTAAGCCACAAGGGAAGCCCAAGGGTTTTATCAAATATTTGTTGAGGCAATTTTCAGTTGAGGAGAACAAGACTCAGAGAAGTCTTCGATAGCATCGAACTATGATTTATAGAGCAGCTACTGTGTGCTAGGCACTGTGCTGGGGGACCCCTTATGTATTACCTCATGGAATCCTCACAGCAGGAGACAGGCAATAACTAATCCTACTTTTTTTTTCAAATTAATTTATTTATTTGTTAAAACTCTTAGTTTCGGCATGTGGGATCTAGTTCCCTGACCAGGGATTGGACCCAGGCCCCCTGCTTTGGGAGCACAGAATCTTAGCCACTGGACCACCAGAGAAATCCCCTAATCCTACTTTTTTAAACTGTGAAATATACATAAACTAAAATTTACCACCTGAACCATTTTTAAGTGACCTTTTCAGGGTTAATTACATTCACATTGTTATGGAACCAATTTCCAAAATGCTTTTCATCTTGTACAACTGAAACTCTATACCCAGTAAATGGTAACTCCCCTCCCCCCTCCCACCTATCTGTGGCAACCACCGTTCTCTCTTCTGTCTCTATGAATTTGACTATTCTAGATACTTCATTTAAGTGGAATCCTATGGAATTTGTCTTGTGACTGGCTTATTTCCTCAAGGTTCATCCATGTTGTAGCACGTGTCAGAACTTCATTTTTTTTTAAAGGCTGAATACTCTTCCTTTGTGTATATACACCACATTTTGTTTATCTAGTCCTCCATCAATGGGTACTTAGGGTGCTTCCACCTTTTGGCCATTGTGAACAGCACTGCAAATATCTCTTCGAGGCAAAACCCATTTTACAGAGGATCACAGATGGGCTCTGGGAGGAGTGATGATCTGCCCAAGGAGGGCTGCTCACCCAGCCTCTCAGACCCCAAAGGCAGGGCGCCTCCTGCCTCATCCCACTGCCTCCTTTGTGATCTGCCTCCCCTCCACTGCCCCGTGCCCACCTGTGGTGTGGCACCTGCAGAGACCTCGAGATCCCGGAAAGTTCAGGTGTCAGGGCTGGGCACCACCTCACCCATCCCCTTCTCTGTCCTGTCTCAGCCTCTGTCGGTGCCAGGAAATACCTGACACCCATTCACCAGGTGTGGATGAAGGGCCTGCTGCATGTCAGGCAGGACAAGATATGACCTCCCCCAGGGAAGAGGTGCTCGTCTCATTCACTCACTGCTGCCCCCTACTGCCTGGAAGAGTGCCTGGCACAACTGATGCTCCAGGAGTGTTTGCTGGGTGAATGAGGGGCAAGTGGGAGCAGGAGCCCAGAGATCCAGACAGCCACCAGTGCTGGGCCCTCCTGTCAAACAGGGTGCGCTCCCTTGTGAGGTCTCTCTCCCAGGGTATGTGGAGAGGTTAGGTCTGTGCTCTGGGGAAGCAGCAAGTACGAATGTGTGCGGGCAGCTTCAGGGATGCCTTCTCCCCTTTGCCCTGCAGATCACCTTCGTACCTGCTGACTCTGACTTCCAAGGTGTCCTGTCCACGAAGGAGAAGGCGCTGGGCCTGCTGGAGAACAGGCTTGCTGCCGAGATGAAGAGGTGGGTGCTGGGCCCTCTGGGTGGAGTGGAGGGAGGGAAGGGTTAGTGACCCTTCAGGCCAGTCTCTCCCTGCCGAGGAGAGTGAGGGGGTGGGGCAGGAGCAGAGGGTCAGTGTCTCCCCTCTGCTGCAGGCTCTGGCTTTACCTTCCTACTTACTGAGAACAGACTCTCAGAAATCATAGATCGTTTTGGCCTCTCAATTCTATGAGGTGGTCATTATTGTTCCCATTTTACAGATGAGGAAACTGAGGCTTGGGGATTTTTGTCCTGCCTTACAGCGAATTAGTGGCAGCCAAATAGATGTGACCCTAAATCCCACACAGTGGTGACAACTACTACTCTAGCAAACAAGAGGCAAAATGATGGCCAAGGCACAGCCCTGGGGCCCTGCCACTTTTTGGCTGAGTGACTTTGGGAAATTGACCTGTCTCTCTTTGCCCCATCTTTGAAATACAGATACTAATAGTACCTTCCTCCTAGGCATTGGTGGAGGGGCTAAATGAGATAATAGTCATCTCTTGGCATCTGTGGGGAACTGGCTCTAGATCACCCTCAGACACCAAAATCTGCAGATGCTCTAGTCCCTTTTATAAAATGGCATAGTATTTGTTTATAATGTAAGACATCCTCCCATATACTTTAAATCATCTCTAGATTACTTCTAATACATAGCATGTAAATGCTATGTCAATAGTTGTAAATATAATGAAAGTGAAAGTGAAAGTCGCTCAGTCCTGTCCGACTCTTTGCGATCCCTTGGACTATACAGTCCTTGGAATTCTCTAGGATTGTATGATATAATATAGATGCTATGTAAATAGTTGCTAGTGTGTGACAAATTCAAGTTTTGCTGTTTGGAGCTCTCTAGAATTTTTTTCCTGAGTATTTTCAAACCACAGTTAGTTGAATCCATGGATGTGGAACCTGTGATATGGATGGCAGACTTTATAAGCCAGGCACTAAGAACAGAGCCTGGACCATAGCAGGCCCTCTATAAGCCTTTGCCATCACTGGTAGGAAGCGCTTCCAAAAGCACCAGAAACCAAGTCAGGCATTTTGCGCCCATGACCTCTTTTGGTCTTCATAGGAACCTGTGAAAGGGGTGGTATTGGGCCTTTTATACAGATGTGGAAACTGAGGCTCAAGAAGTGCAATTACAAACTCAAACCTCACAGAGAGTCAATACCAGACCATACCTGCCTTCATCCCTGGAAGTGCCAAGTGCTGTCTTGCCAAAACATGGCAGCCCTGGAAGGGTGACTTGATCAGCCATCCCCCCTCCCACCCCTGAAGCCATGATGATTGTGCTCAGAAGTCCAGGCTGCAGATCCAGGATCTGTGGCCAGGGCTCTGGGACTTTCTCTGTGTTGCTTGGGGAAGGAGGTGGTGATGGTATTTTCTGTCCCTGGTGCCTGGGTGACCAAATGTCCCAGGGGACTGAGGCAGATAGACCCTGGGTGGGTATTGGGACCAGCCTCAGTACTGGTCACACAGAGAGAGCTGTTGGAATAGAGCTGGGGCTCAGGTCGCCCTGAGCCTGGGCTCATCCCCATCACTCCCCAGCCCTGGATTCTAGAGCAGTGGAGAAGGTGGTGCTTGGAGCCCCAGCACCGGCCCTAGGCCTGAGTCACCCAGGCAAGCCAGCCAGGGTCTGTGCCTCCACCTCCCCCAGCAGCTCCCAAAGTTCCGGCAAGGACTTGATGAGCTAACCTATACAGCCCAGCCCACAAGGACCACTCAGTCGCTGGGCCCTTACTGCTGCTGTGTCCTCATCTGAAAAATGGGAACGACCACTCTGTTTCAAGGGGTTGTTCAGAATAAACAGCATAAAGCCTTCAGGCCACCGTCTGGAACCCAGCAAACTCCCAGTTAATGCAGACCGACCTTCATTTGGTAGTTGCAGCCTTGGGGTCCACTTTGGAGACATGGGGTGAAAGGAACACTGGCCTGAGTGTCTGAGCTCTCCCACTCAGCTTACCTTGCCTGGCCTCAGTCTCCTCATCCATGAACTGGGTACAGTAGCCACTCCAAGAGGCTTCTTGGAGATCAGGGGAGACCCGGTGCTCAGGACAGGTGGGCCAGGGGATAGCACAGAGCGAATCTTTGCCTACCTGCCTATTCTCTCTCCTGCTGTCTCCTACACCCCCATTCAGCCCCCAGCCCCCCTACGTCAGGCTCTGGGAGGCAGCCGCCTACGACCAGAGCCTGCCTGACTTCAGCCACATCCAGATGAAGGTCATGAGCTACAGCGAGGACCCCCGCCCCCTCCTGGCCCCAGAACCCGGACAGCAGCAGCCAGAAGCCAGCAGTGGAGGAGAAAGTGGCCCTCGTGACACTCAGGCCTGGTTGGAAGCTGCCGTGGTCATCCACAGGGGCTTGGCCCAGGATGAGGGAGAAAGAGACCCGAGTCAGGGCAGGTTCAGGTGAGTGTGCAGAGCAGCGGGGTTCTGGGGTGAAGGAGGAGGGGGCGTGGGCCCTGAGGGTGACTGGACTGGAGACCCTGGACAGGAGAGAGGCTGGGACACCCTGAGGAGACGCGTGGCTCTGGGCTTAGTCACCTGGGCCTGGTTCAAGCCCCAGCTCCTTTGCCGTTGTACCCTTCAAATGCTCCTCACCTTGCCGAGCCTCAGTTTCCTCACATGAGAATAATCACTCCTACCTCAGAGTAGTCTGAACTCGCACCATGAGGAGCCAGGTGAGGAGCCAGAGCACCTGAGTTCAAATCCAGGCTCTGCTGCTGACGGGCTCTGGGCCTTGGGGAGGTCACTCCATCCCCTCCCCCGCCCCCGCCCCTGTCCCCAGCCATTCATGAACGGGAACGTGAATATTCCTCGTTCAAACCTGTAGCCTCTCACCCACCAGCACCCCTGGGCATACTCCCTGCCAGGCCTTGACACACCACCCTGCGGGAGCCCCTCATCCAGTGGGGGAGGCAGACGAAGGGACAGAAGGTGGCACCCAGGGTGACAGGGACTCTGGGAGGCCCAGAGCAGATCCCTGAGTGGTTGGAGAGGCAGAGGAGTGACCTGGTTTGGATAACATAACTATGGTCCATTTCTTCAGCACCTACTATGTGCCAGGCCTCTTGCAAAGTGCTTTGCACTCATTATCTGCTATAAACCTCAGGGAGAACCATAGGAGTGAATGCTGGTATTTCCCCCATCTTACAGAGGGGGAAACTGAGGCCCAGACAGGTGAACTCACCTACCCCGGGCCTTGCAGCTAGTGGCTGGGGTTCAGACCCAGGCAGTCTGACTCAGGGCTCCCCTCACCCTCTCCGCCTTTACCCCTGCAGCCCCCCGACCTGTCCCCAGGGTCCTGCACCCTTGGCTTCCTTCCAAGATGACCTGGACGTGGGCTCCAGTGAGGGCAGCAGCTCCAACCCATCTCCACCCGAGGGAGCGGAACCTCAGCCCCCGCCTCCGGAGTCCTGGACCTGCAGATGCCAGCTGGACCGCTTCCATGACTTCGCCCTGATTGATGCCCCCACGACGGAGGATGTGCCTCCAGAGAAACAGCGGCGGGAGGCAGCCGTGACTAGCTCCCAGCAGAGGTCCCCGAGGACAAAAGAGGAGGAAGAGGCTTCAGACACAGGCACAGAGGGGCTGGCACAGGAAGAGGAAGACCTGTACTATGGGCTTCCCGACAGCCCCCGGGATCCCCTCCCAGACAAGGAACTGGGCTTTGAACCTGAGGCCCAGGGCTGACATGGAGCTGCTCCCGGGGTTCCAATCTGGCTCCACCACCAATCTCCATGTGACCTCACAGGGCTTCCATTTCACTAACTGCAAAATGGGGTTTGATTTTGCAGGCTCTCAGTGGGCCGAGAGCATTTTGAGAACCACACAGAGAGGAGATGATTACATTACTGGGCCATTGCTGTTTCGATCATTAGTACCTTTTGTGGAGCTTTGAAGGTAATAGGATTTGTTGAGAAGATTTGCAGCAGCCAGAGCCCTCAAGTGCCTTTGCAGCTTCACCTCAAAGCTAGCTTCCGACCAGGAACCCTCCTTGGTGCTGGCCTTGGGCCCCTCAGCCCCTGTGAAAGCCCCTCTCCTGCTGAGTCTTTTGGTCCACTGGATGGATGGCAAAATGGGTCTTCATTCAGAGCTGACATCTGGTCCTGCATCCTTCCTGCAGCTTCTGTTGTTCTGGGATCCAAAACCTCCCATGAGTAACCTCTGCTGACCTTCCAACTTTCTCCTGGTCAGCCCATCCCCCGCTCACCCTGCGCCTTATGCCTCTGCCTAGCTGTCTTCTCCACCAGGATGCCCTTTGTCCCTGTCTGCCTGGCACATTCAGGCTCATCTTTCAAACCTCTGCACAGACATCCCCCTTCTGAAGGCTCTTCCTGATGTCACTGCTTTTGGACCGAGTTAGTCCTGGCCCCTCTGTGCCTCCTCTGGGCCTTCCACGTTTATCTTGGACTGTGGCTGCCTGCTCAAGGCCAGTACCTTTGCTTCACTCGCCTTGGTCTCTCCTGTGCCCAACTCAGGTGGTCCCTGAGGTGGTATAGAAGTGACCAGAACCCAGAAGGTTTTTGCAGGGAATGCCCCATCCCTCATTCCACTGACTCTCAGACTCCTGACTTAACTCATTTGGCCCCGGTGGCATTTATGGAGCATCTACTGTGTTGCCAGATGGTAAGCTGGGATCTTTAGGTGGAAAGAGACACGAACTGATGACAGTTCTCACCCTCAAGGGGCTCACAATACTCTGAGCCTGGCATCTTGTAAGTTAGACACAGTGTGCCGAGCAGAAACTGAGGTGGGAAGTTTCTGAGAGCAGAGCAGTTAAAAATTGTCCCAAATGAGTGACACCCACACAACCACTGTGGCCACAGACTCCAAGAACAAACACCTCTTGCTGTCTGAGCAGCCCCTGAAGTTATGGCAGCATCACTGAGTGATGCTTTCTTGGGCTGATCTCTGCAAAGTCCCTCTGGGCCCCGGCATGGGTGGTACCACCTCAGCCACGGCCCCCACATTCAGAGCTGGCACCCTGGGCCTCTTGGGAGGGCTGACCTTCACCTGGGCTATGCCTCTGGATTGGGATTGGGGTCATGGCCGAGGGAAGGGCATGCCCCGGCACCCTCTCCATCTCCTTTCTGGGTCGTTGCCACCTTCAGTAGGAGAGCCTCTGCTGTAACAGCTGTTCCCGGCTCTGCTCCCTCACGCAGGGGAGGGGTGACCTGCATCAAGAGAACACCAGTGGGAGGTTCAAATAAAAAAGTTTTCAGTGTTTAGAATGGTTATCTTCATTCATCTGCAATTTCTTTTATGTGAACCCTCTTCCCACACCCAACGCCACTTCCACTCTCCCCCTGGGCAGGATAACCGAGGGGGATCAGTGAGGGGACTCTCTGGAAAGTGAACACGAGACACAGCAGTGTGGCCAGTAGGACAGTTGTGAGGGTGGAAACTTGAGAGTGGCCCCTGCCTCCACATCACACTGCAGGGTGCCCCCAGGCCTCAGCAGAGAACCAGGAGCATCTGGCTGCCAGCCCGGCCCACAGGGAGAAACCTGTCCCAGGGAGGGGGCCCGAGGACTGAGGAAGGGACACAGATGGCTGGGCCGGGCTTCCACTCCAGACCAGATCTCCCTCCATCCTGCTGCGCGATTGAGAGACCACATGCCTGGCCTGCCCTGGACAGCCCTTGTTCCAGCCCACTGTCCCTGCCTAGTTAGACCTTTCACCCCTCAAATTATCCCCTCAGGATGATAAATATTCACCCGACTCTGTGACCTTGGGCTTGGACCTCACTCTCCTCACCTGCAAGAGGCAGGTGCTGGATCCTTGTCTTTGCATTTTGCAGGATTGGTGGGAGTGGTGGGGTTGGGGTTTGGTGGGATCCTTCTGCCAGTGCCCTGCAGGTGAGGGCCCCCAGGAGCTCACCTGTGGTTGTTTGTTGTTTAGTCGCTAAGTCGTGTCGACTCCTTGGCGATCTCCATGGAATCTCCCAGGCCAGAATACTGGAGTGGGCTGCCATTTTCTTCTCCAGGGAATTTTCCTGCAGGGATCGAACCTGCATCTCCTGCTTCTCCTGCACTGGCCGGAGGATTCTTTACCACTGCTCCACCTGCGGTTAATTGTTGGGTTTGCTACTCATTGCGGGCTTTGCAGGTGGCTCAGTGGTAAAGAATCCACTGGCCAATGCAGGAGACATAGAATATTCGGGTTTGATCCCTGGTTCAGGAAGATCCTTTGGAGTAGGAAATGGCAACCCATTCCTTGCCTAGAAAATCCCATGGACAGAGGAGCCTGGTGGGCTACAATCCATGGGGTTGCAATAAGGCTGAGCACGCATGCGTTTGTTACTCATTGCAGGGGGAGAAACCTCATGGGAACTGTGAGGTGTCTCTGTAAGAGGCTGTGAGAACGGACTTAAGGGATATGGGCTTGTTTGAGGTAACTGAGGGGAGGGTCTATGAAAGTGGGTCTCTGCTCTAGACAGGATGCTATTGGGAAGTGGGGCTGATCCCATGCTGGGGTGTCTTAATCAATCCTACATGGAAGACCGAGCTAAGGATGTAGGTGACAAAGAGGCAGAAGTCATGCTCTAGCCAGGAGAGGCTGTGTAGTCGCTGATGTAATTTGACAGTGTTCCTGTTTGCTGTGTTCAGCCATGGCTACTGAGGGGTCTGGACGTGTCATGACCCATCACAGTCAGAGTGTTTATCTGATGCTGATGTTCTATGAAATTATTCAAGTTCATCAGACCATTGGGGCCCAGCTGTGAGGGCCTCTGGAATGGGCCCTCGCGTTGGCTGATTAACTGGGAGGGCAAGATCTTCATGCAGGTCCCTGGGGGTGGGGGTGGAGCCGAAAAGAATGACCTTGGCAAACCCTGGGCTTCCCGCTCTCAGCCTCAGGCTCCAGATTGGCGTACCATGGCAGACATTCCTGCTCTTTCCACCCCCCGTCAGCTAAGAGGCACTTTTGGAAGTTTCCATTCTCTGCAGAGGGATAGCCCCTGACCTTTACTGAAGAAGAGTGATCCTGGGGGTGGTGAACTTCGGCTCTGTGATCACCCGCTGTGACCTTGGGCATGTGGCGACCCTCCCTGGACCCTCTCCCTGTTTTCTATATGATTAGATGGAGGTGGACAAGATTCCTCTTCTACTCTCGGTCCTTAAGCATGATGCCAGACACTCTCACATCAGTTTCCCCATTTAGTCGTTGCAACAGCCCTGAGGGACAGATCTGTCAACCCCATATTGCATATGTTTGCTCTAAATCCCAGACTCTGGAGTCAGAAAGACCTGGGTCTGCACTCAGCCTCTGCCAGCTCCTTGTTGTGTGAATTTGGATAAGTCACTGCCCCTCTCTGAGCCTCAGTGTCTCGTTTATGCAGTGGAGAAGATACTACCAGCCTCTCAGGACGTTGTGAAGAATTAATGGGTATGACGCCTCCGACACATCATAGGTGCCTGAATAGTGTCCGTGTCCTTCTCTCTCCTCATCTGCACAGTGGGGATTAACTCTGTCCCCCTAATAAACAGGACAGTAGGTGAGTGGATTTGCCAGGGAGAACATGCGTGTGAAAGCTCTTTGCAAAGGGTACAGAACACATCCAATGTGCCAGGTGCTCGGGGCAGGGGAGCTGACAGCAGGCAACAGGGAGCTACAAGTCAGGGAGGAGAGCAGCATCCTGAGAGAGGGGCAGGGTCCCAAGAGCAAGGGCCAAGGTGAGCAGGACTGCTTGTGCTTGGGCAGACGGGGCAGCCAACAAAGTTACTGTGCATGTGCAACGCATCCGGTGCTGCCTGAATGGGACCCTCCCACCAGCCCTGAGAGATGGGCGTCCCAGGGCCTGGGCTGGGACTGGAAAATGGATCCCAGAACCTGCGCTCTTCTTCCGGTGCCACTGGGTCCACACATGTAACAACACCGATAATCACCTATGCTATGCTCACCTTCATTTCACCCTCACAGCCTGCAAGGTTGGTGTGTATCCCCAGGTTACAGATGAGGAAACAGACTCCGAGAGGCTGAATAATATGCCCATCCTCCCAGAGAAGGGTTAAATGGAGGAGAGGAGGTGTTGCTGTAGGGCCTTCCATTCCTGGCAGGAATCATCCTGTTTTAGTCATCCCAACCTTGGGGAGGACAGGAGACACACCCCAACAATCCAGGCAGCAAGGTTGCCCTGAGCGTCTGCTTGTGCTGGCCCTCATGGCAGACACACACCAGCTCCCACACCCCTCGTGGGTCTCTACACCCACAGGATCAGGCTAGACTCAGGCTGGAGCTGAGGCCCTTTTCAGCCAATTTGTCCTCCACTTCCTCCAGTTCTGTAGCTGCTGGAAACCTGTCTGTCCAGCCGATCTGCTTAATGCCCTTCCTCCCTTTCTCTATCTTCCCTGTAGGCTGGTGCTTGGAGCCTGAGCTGGCCTTGCTCTCCCTCCTGGGGCAGAATCCCACACCGTCCTGGCATCCTTCCCAAAGGGTGTGCACTGCTCCGGTCTCAGTGCTACTAGTTGTGCGTGTTCCTGGGCTGGGATGTCCTCCGAGGACAGGGACCTCTGCTTACCCATGTTTCTATTCCCAGGACTTAGCAAAAGCAAGTGGCAATAGTGCCGGTGGAACAGGATGGAACTGACCCACATTGAACTGAATCACATGGCCACTCTGAAGGCTTGTGGCTCAGTTGCATAGACTACATAGCACAGGGATGAGGAACTCTGGCTTAAGCGTAACCAGTCC